CGGAGGTGATCGAGATAATAAAGTTTTGGTCACCCATCCTATGACTGGCCATTGCTAAAGTTGCTTAACAACCGTATCGCAGACCGAGCGCGCTTACCACTGCGCCCTCAAGCTACAGTCTTTAACACCCACCAATCCGCAATGGGCCCACGTGTAGTCGTGACTATTCGGTAATCATGCCTATACTCTATTTGATTCCATAGAGTAAGTGAACGCCCCTAAAGTGGGGACCACTAATCGGCAGCTGATGATAAGAATGAAAAAAAAATATTCTTGGTAAGGATAAAATAAAAATTTAAGTACATCACACTTCTAAGTGTTTTGTATTTTTATAGAAAAGATAAGAAAGTTTACTCTAAAATTAGTCAGTTATTCAATTTCTTCTCACACTTTTCTCTTTTTTATTGATAAATATATGGTGGTATAATAGTTTTAGACGCGTAATACGCCATCATGTCCGAATCTATCTCATTGATGGGCGTATACATGTTATCTCATATATTTTCCCTTCTCAATTATGTTATAAATAACCTTTGCTTGTGATGAAAATGTGTTTTAAATAATATTCCTTTCGTCAGTTTACGTATACAAGGTTCTTATTAGCGAAAGTAACAAATGCTCTGAGATATTTCTCTCACTGAGGTCTCGTTATGATGGTACAAGCATTCTTCACATCGATTGAGAAACGTCAGGAGTTCAATGCAAATATTATTAAATAGAGTAATTGTCTTAGTTATATACTCCCTAAGTAATATTACAATAATTCATGTGTTAAGCCTGATTGCGTGCTTAATACGCATGTAAACTGCATTTGCTTAATGTATTATGTTATAGGTGCTCAATACAGACAACTGTTGCATTATACATTTTGGTTATACCCACAGTAAGTAATAAATAGACGTTGTTCCTTTCCTTTCAAGTTACTAGTTTCCTATCAAATATTTATTATCAAGAGTAAATATATTTTTTTTTGCAATACTACCCATTATGTTTGTATTTATTAAAAATCCTTCTCAAACTCTGGAAAGAGTGGCACCGATAGAAAGCTTTTTGTGCCGGTTCCTAAAAGTCGTGGATCCGGGGCTGTGAAAGGCAATTTCATTATTGCTAGATAACTGGCCATGAGTTGGTTACGTGTGTCAGTAACTAGGTGAAAAAGCTGACAAACTTTATGTTGAGGCAAATGAAATAGTACTGAATGCTTTTCCACGATGTTAATATCGGCAGCATAATAATAGATGAAAGATATAGTTTCTAATTTTGTAGAAAAGTGGGCAGCATACTTAGATTTAGGTAATCTTAGCGGTTCAAGTTCGATTTCTTTTATCAGCTTTATATACACTTAAATATTTGATGACATTATTCAACAAGAGAAGAATGAAGAACGCAGAATTATTATGGAGTCCTTTGCTTATTACATTTAGGTACTGGATACTGGAAGACACTAAATTTGCTTAGACCGTATCTTCTTAAATAATGGAGGTCCTAGTATATAAATTGCATAAAGTATAATAATATTAAAATTTCGCCCTAGTAATTCACCGTCGGTTGGTTGGAAATGAGGTCAATTGATCATGTAAAAATATCATTATGATAATGCTTATTGCCGTGAATTGTTTTGAGGAAACTTAGGGATTTTTGTAAGTATTTAAATCAAGTGAGATAATTATTTTCTAATAGAAGTTCTAATATTATTTAAACGAAGTTCGAAATTATCACCGAATCTAATCGATTGATTGTTTGTTAATTTGTCATTGATCTTCTTTTCCGTCATTATATCGTACGCGTTCATAAATAACAGTCTGTATTTCACACCATGATGATATTTATTAGATGATAAAATTTATGGGTCCTCCTCTTTTTGCGGGCATGTACAATATTTGATCGCTAACGATACGTATCAGTGAAATCAAATAAGATTGTGCATTGTCTATTCTATGGCTATGAATATATCCCATTTTGGAAACACAATCTTAAAAAATCTATGAAATGTCATTTGATTTTCGTAGACTTGTTTCTATAAATATTCGGCTATTAAAACGAAGAGTTTTTTTCTTGTAACATATGTTACCTAAGACAATACCATGAGTTTTGCAATCAGCATATTATACATGGATTGTAGCATAATGCCAGCAGTCGTCAACGCCTAGCCAAGCCCCTGTTTCCAATTACACAGTTCGTTACGCTCTGAAAGAAAGAAAATTAGAGGCAAATGGTGGCGTAGCTTCAAGGCATCTTTCGCAAACAAGAAATGTTGAAATTACCATATTTACATCGATATGTTTTAAAGTACTAAGAAATCTTACTATTGTTATGGATAAAGTATAGATCTTTGTTGTACCGGTTACGTCTTATCTACTTTACAGTTTTTCGTTTTTGATACAATTTATATAAAAAAAAACTTTAAAGATAGTCCACGAATTGGAATTATAGGAAGTGACCTACGATAATTATAAAGCATGATGGTGAACCTTAGGAATAGAGGTAACATCTGGGGTAAGGATATAACTCTCAAGGTCCCGAGCCCCTCTCCTAGTAGGAGTATACCATCGTAAGGGGTTTCGTGGGGTTTCCACTTAGAGTAACTAAATCTCTAACGTTTTCCAACTTGCCAAGCATGTTTTGTTCAACCGTCCATTGATAATGATTAGGTTCTATCTTATGTAAGAGCAGCCTAAGAACCAGACTCTTTCTGAAAGACAAAATGATAAGATACGAGTATGTCTAAGTGATTATATATGAGAAACCACATTATAAAACTGCATTCTTATTAGCAATTTTTGTCAAGATTTACTTAATTTTCATTCATGATTTGATCGACAAACAATATTTTCGTTCTTCAAATTATCTTCAGGTAAAGCGCCAAAATCTTCAGTTGAAGCAGAGTATGGTTAAAGTCTCGAATAGCGATTGTAATCATACAATAATAATTTTCGTAGTCCTTGTTGTACTATTCATCTGCCACAAACATGGTACTTCTTATTATGCTTTTGATTTATATGTCACCTTGTTATACAATCGAATAGTGCAAGTGAATATAACTTAGCTTTAGTCATCTTTACTAATATTATAAAAAGGAAAGCTTTGTATGTTTGTTTGTAATGAATAGGCTCAAAAACTACTTGACCGATTTTAAAAATTCTTTCACCATTTGAAAGCTACATTATCCACGAGTAACATAGGTTATATTTTATTTTGGAAAAAATAGAGTTCCGTAAGATATTTGGGTTTTTCGGACACAAGGTGTTATAAATCAACCAGAAAAGTTACTTATTTTGCGTAAGCTGCCTAAACTATAAAAGATAGAACCATAAAATGTTCTAATTAATTGTAGATCTTCTAATATCTACCGAAAAGTCCGCGACACACTAGTGAGGCACTACAACCATCTTTTTATTTAAAAACCTTGTTTTTTTTGGACTACATTTAAACGCGTTTATTTTACTCATGCTATTAATTCTTATCAAAATAATTATTACATCACTTAGTACAGTCTATGTTGATTATATTTGGTCTTTGAATGATTAAAATTGGACGCATGGTTTTGAAGTTATGGCGAAATTAAAATATTACGATTTCTGCTGTACGGCTCGTTGTATAAAACAAAGTCGCTTTCTCTGTCCTTATATCCCTATATATGTTTATATCTTTTAAAATACGCAACGGATTTTTATGCGGTTTTTTCATAGATAGGGTGATTTAAAAGGAAGGTTTTTACGTGTAATACAAGACCACGCGGCAAGCTAGTTATATATATAAAGCGTATTTCAGTACTGACCCATATTTCAAAAGATAAATAGATGTTAATAAGACAGACGCACCGCCCGAGGGAAATCACAATAAAATAAAATCAACTTCATGGAATATCAATCTCTGTAACGGTATGGAATGTAATGACAGCCCACCCTTGATACCCGATCGGATTTGACTTCATTTTGTTCTCGATTACATCGCTTCGTATACTTTGTTTAAAAGGAATACTTATTTTTGTAAAAAAAAACAAATGGTATTTTGTGTTCAAAAACAAATTTACGTTATCTTTGTGGTAATGGTAAAATAATTGAATTAAGGAGCAGAACGCATTAATTAACCTTACTGTAATTATAAAAGCAAAACCATTGTGAAAACCTTTAAAAGAAAAATGTTACTTAAGCAGAAAGTTTCATGTAACAGAACTCATTAACGAGCCGGTTATTGAAATATTTAATGTGGCTTTCGGCTTCATCCGAGGATGATGTGTATTGATTCATAAGGAGCCGTCGACGGGCTACGATTAATGTAGTCTCGCATTGGCGTTGTCTATTCAATAACAGGCGCGCACCTGCTGGATTTACGAGCTCCGCAAATTCATTGTTATTCACAGCCAATGAGCATGGCGCTCCCGATACTCGCTGGAATAATAGTTCTCATCATGCTTCACAAGATATATTGGTTGGGCCCGCTTTAAGGGCCATTTCTAAGGAATTGCTCTCGGTTTTGATGCGAGCTTTACGATTACCGGTAGCCGACCTCACCTCTACGCTTACCGCCCATTACACCGCTCACCGGGAGTATTAGGGCAACACCATCCTAAACCTTCCTTCTAATTTATTTTTCCTCCTCGACGTCTTTATTAGAAATGGCAAAAAAAAAAGTATTATTATGCAAGGCAGTGCCTGTATGTAGCCATCTTTTGTGAACTTATTAGTAACATTCAAAATTCTATCCTAACGTTAGTTAGTTTAGTAAAATATTTAAAATAGCTAGTAACTCAAAATATATATTTACTAAATTTTTAATACATGATGAAATGCTGAATAATGTAGCAAATGCATGTGAATATTTGAGTGGTGGTTGTATTTGATTATCATCTCAACAAGTGGCGCAAAGTCAACATAGAGGGTGTCTGATACCAGGCAAACCTAATATCGATTATTTGACCGTATAAGGCGGAATATCTGTACTATGTTATAGTAGTGTGAGTAATTTTGTCGTAGTACATTGTCGTGGTCGAGTTGAGCATGGTCCACGTGGCACAAGATTGCGGAGGCGGTGTTTGCTCTTTGGCGGAGCCCGCAACGGGCTTACGGTTCAGCGAGCCGTGCAGCGGCCGCGCGGCCTCTCGGGTCGCGTCTCCGGCCAAATTGAAATATCCCCGCTGCCATGACTTCTACCACTCGCACACAGTCCGTCCTCTCTAATGTCTATACACTGAAGGCTCTCATAAATATCCCTGCAATAAAACAACTTCTTTTTATTGCAAATGAAATACAGAGTACACTTTTTATATGATGCTTATACATATATTAGTAATTTATTTGCAAAAAATGCGATGTGGTTTTTTAGAATTATCTACTTCTTGAAATATTCGTATTATGTTTTTTGTCCTTGTGTTCATTTACCACTTGAAGTCCATCTAAACATTTATGAAAATGTGTGACAACAATGAAAACAGTGTCCTTCTAGTTTTTATCAATTACGCAAGCTCGATAAATTAAGGATAATAAAAACCAAAATTATCTTTCAACCAGAATTTAACCATTAAATTTTGAATAAACTTGAAGAGAATTTAATAACTTTCAATAATTAAATATGACATTTAAACTTGAAAACCATCATGCATAATCCACACAGTCCCTGTGTCGGTCTATTACAAAATGCACACACGGAGTTATTTATTTCTTTTATTGATATTTTACATTTAAGGAACCTTGAATTTTTACAGTACTAGTGCCTGCCATATATTGCTAAAATTATATATGGACGTGGTTATGGAACGATTCAATTTCCTTGCGCAGACAGCATCTGAATTTACGTGCGCAGATTTACATGCCAACGAAATTATTTGCAAATGGTACCTCCAGCAATTCATCTATATTTTATGATTCGAAGCGAACACTTAAAGGTTCTCCATCCGAATTAAATTATCACTTATTTTCAGTAGGCAAAGAGCTTTTTCATCTAAAATATGTAAATGTAAACATGCTTTTGACGGATTATTTTGGGTAACTTTGCGATAAAGGAAACTTTTGCCTATTGATACTTATTTATATACAAAAGTTTCTTCGTACATTTGTGTTTTCACAGGGATTTGCTGTAACTGTATAAAATGCTTGATTAGATTTTTTTTCGGCTGTTTGTGCCGCTTGGATAATAGAAGCGGCTGAAAAAATGTTCACGTGTTTGAGTATTACCATTTACCTCATGAAAAGTGTGAACAGCAAACAGTAATAAAAAAATGTATGTGCCGCGTGCACACATTGTTTAAATCGATAACCTTTGTCGAGGTGGTTGGCTCACGAAGCCCCTTTGCAGGTAATCCTGCCCACTTGGAGTTATTGCCGCCGAGGGAAGGAAAGATTACCTCGGCGGGAGATAAGGAGGTCGACGGGGCTTCGAGTGCGATTGTCCCCGAGTCAGGCGTCGAATTGTGTCAAGTGAAGCGACAAATTGAACGGCCGAGCCTTCTGCGCGCCTCGCTCACTAATCGTCACATAAACTGCCGCCGCCCGAACGTTTAATTACGTAAAACGATTTCTTCGACATGTACGTCACGCACTGGTTACTATCATGCAAAATCATTGCAGTCCGTTCGCTCTGGAAACTTTTTTAGATTAATTATTGAAGAAGAGCTCTTATATTTTATTTTAATCATAATATTTTTAATGCATATTTTAAAGAAACGTGTTTTCATTTTGAGTTGTTACAATTTCGTCACGGTTATTTTCTTCCAATAAAATGATTATATTTTTGTGCTCACGTATAAGTTACACCAAAATTGTACCTTTAACCTTAATGTGGATAATATATCTATAACGCATAATTTTTTTAGTCATGTTAATTAATTTTTGGTATTATGTTGTTAAGTCTTTTAGTTTAAAATTACCGAACAAAACTCTTACCATAGTCATAAGAAAAATATCAAGATCCTATACTCCATTCATTATAGCATTAGACAGAAGTTAAATAAGGTTCTTTTTATGGTATACTTTGTGACAAAATATTAACAATCATGTTACTCTTAAGATTGACGGCTTATTTGCTACATATCCACTTAAATACCAGCTGCTATACTTAACAGTTGTTGTTTAAGCCATCTGTTAAACAAAATTATGAGTATTTGACTAACTTATAAGATTTAATAACTCTTACAATAAAAAGTGTTCATCTTAAAGAACCTAGAGAAGCAGGGTTGGATAGTCTCGGCACGATTCACATGTCACTATAATTCTACCAAATTTAAAACGTTGCCTTATCCCTTCAAACGTTTCGGTAGTACAGCTTTTTAATTTTGTCAGATTATGACGTATTCATAATAGTCAAACTATGTAATCTGGGATTCATTAATTGCCTTTCTTGTTGTTTTACCGTAGGTATTCCGTGATTGAGTTTTTATTGTATTATTTTTGTTGTCTTATAGATTTGTTTTAGTTGTTATCTTTTTGTAGTTAAGTTTTGCTAAATATGGACAATTCCGGTGCAGGTCCGAATGGCCTACAACAATTACCTCTTACATTTTAAGAAGTTTTTCCAATATCTTAATCAATAATCTAATAATATCTGAATAAATGTTATAAAAGTAATAATAAAAATTTAATTTTGTTTATCTTTCTTTCCTGGCCATAAATATATCTATCTAAATTCTATTTTAATTATACATTTACAATTAGAATTTTATCAAAACGACAGATACATAGTTATAGTTCCATATTGGGTTGGGAGTAAAAGATGAATTTAGAAAATTCTAGCCTCATCGCAAAAGAAAATGGAAAATTGCCCAACTCTTTCAAACATTACCTAATGATCAAAGTGTCAACAAAACTATTATATATATTTTTAAAATTTATATTGAAAATAAAATGTTTTGCTCTGCTGCTTTTGTGACCCTCTTTTTTCTAATGTTATAATGAATGGAGTATATGTTATTGCTATTAGCATAAATAAATAATACATATTAGACAAAACAGCACGTAAATTGCTCAGATTCCATGACGGTACTACAACACCCAGACCCAAGACAGTATAGGAAAGTTCATTTTCTACATTGACCCGAACGGTAATTTAGATAGATATTAAAAATAATATATTTCGCTAATGAAAATTGACAGATTTTAATTTTGCCGTATTAATTTTTTTTTTTACCTTTTTTTTTTCATCGAGTTTCATATTTCTGTGGACGTCATGAGAGTTTCCTAATCTCATATCACATTCTGTGCCGAAATAAGTACAAATAACAATATTCTTTAATCAATTTTATCAGAATAAGTAATGAATGGGTTACATATAAAAATTAATTTTAAAAAACGTCACATAAAAATATCATAGCAATCGTAATTTAATTTGCCGATTCTTAGCAATTGTAATTTAATTACCAGTTCATATACGAAATGTTTCTATCGTCTATTTGCCGATTCTTATATATATGTTTATATAGTCGATCAGTAACGTGACCATTTAAATATCAGGGAAAGTGGTGTGGAAAATGATTATTCGTATGTACGTAAATTGTGAGTGACGCTAATGATAGGGCGTTCAGCAGTCGCAGTGCCACGTAGCGTCTTTCCAATTACGGCGGCGGCTGCGGGTGGAGTCACGCTGCGCCCCGTTCGTTACCGGGACGTGCCACCAACATCTGGACCTCGGTAACTTGTTGCCACCAACTAAATTGCTCACATATTTTCATTCCGTGTATATAGAGAATGATTCGAAAGATTTAATAAAACTCCCAAGTCAAACATATCAAAATGTATACCTACATGTGATGATGCCAAAGTAAACAATTGTTAATTTTAGTTTTGGTTTGCTAAATTACTAACGGTTACAAATTCGTACCATCTCAACGTGGAAGTTTTATTTCTAGTGACAGTCAATTATTTCATTGGATACGTCCCTTTACGAACTATAAGTGCCAAAACCCTTGGAGTTTCCAAATTAATGAATGAGTCAGTCAGCTTATACTCTGTTATTTTTTTATTTCATAAATTTTAGTAATGGGAAAATAGAAAAAAAAGCAAAATAGGTATAGAGACAAAATAACAAAAAAATTACTCTAAAGAAATATTTGATTGGATTCTAAAATTTTCTACTTCTTATATTACAAATTCCGTCCAGATAGCGAATTCTCGTGAACTGAAATAAATTAACTTGAGCTCAGCTGTGGTCCCCAGTGACTTGTCTTCTGTCGGTCCTTCATTGCTGAGGAGCCTAACTTAATCTACTAACGTCTCTAATGAATTTTCATTGCCTCTTGTTTTATTCTAACAGATATGACGCGTTAACATGCTTTGAATATTGAAGTAATTTCATATTTCAAAATGAAATAAAAAATATATATAACAACATCTCGGTTATATTGTAAAATGGAAATTCTACGTTTTACTTTAGTTACATTGTTAATAGGATCAACAATAAAATCTGATTCAAGCCTATAGATATAGTTTTATAGTGTGCACGATTATATATGTGTTTGCCCAAAAAACTCTTATTACATTACATAATATTTGAATAATGTATGTGAATAAAATTACGAATTCCAACAAAACACTCCACGTGGAATTTTGTGATAAGGTGAAACTTTCCCTTGCTCGCAAATTACACTCTGAATTTCGTTGATAGAGAAACTTTGTTCAAATGAAATCACTTCAACGGTCTCCGCGTATTTGTCTATTCCACTTCTTGCAAAGTCACCGGAGCGGGAGGTTTTTAGTGGTGCGTATCCTTTGGTCCCCTAATCTCGGGGAACTTTTATAATGCCTACTTATACAACCAACAAACATACATGGCTTATTAGAATGTGGTAAACAGTTTCAAATTAGCACCAATCCCATATATAATATAATATTGCTTGATATGCAGTATTTAAGTTGTATGTCAAGGTAAATAAATTGTTTTTATATTATACATGAATTTTGGACTATGATAAGTAACATACATGACATGAAAAAAAAATTTAACTTATGAACATCTCAAATTGGTATCGGAATACAAACATCAATCTAATCCCTGCATGTCTTATTTATGATATTGCAAATCCAAAGAGAAAACACGAGCAATGATATCAAATATGTACATTATAATATAAAAGAATTAGAGATGTAGCAATGACTGCTTTTACCGCACAGATAGCGTAATAGAAAACTAGTGGCGGTTAGCACTAGAGTTGTACATGAATGCAATGCCGCTGCTACTCATATACGAAGCCACGCCACTCCATTATGATATTGCCCTCTAAGTGAAATTTGTTTTCACGTTCCTATGCATTGCATGAGAGTAGATTTTTTTCTAGAGGCATTTACGCTTCGGAATGTGAACATAAATGAAAATCGACTCACGTTCAGCTGAAATTCCCATGGAGAAAGGCAAACAAACAGTTTCAATTATTTATAGTGCCCCTAGAGGATTGTAACGGCTTAACTGTTTGAATTATTTTAGTTTGTTTGTAAGATATTTAATGAAAATATTTAGAGAACTACGATGGTAGTAAATTATTTTTACGGTTAAAATTTACGTCGTGTGTTCATAAGTTTGAGACAAACTTTTACTGAAAAAATATGTTATGTTTTTTACCGATTTTGAATTTAGAATATTAACTTTAAGTTTATTTGTATCGCAAATTCATTTGTTTATATTTTCTCGTGATGGAGCGAATGAAACAATTACGTGCAACTCTCATTTCGGTGTTTGATTCGGGAAAAAAACCGATGCAGATTGTCCGCGTGCTAAAAAGTTTTTCTGTAAGCCGCAACTTCGTCTATTACACAATACTGCGGTACAAAGAGACAAGTTCTCTGCAAGATTGTCAAAGGTGTAGTCGGACACGCTCTGTGAGGACGCCTGCTAATATCAAAATCATCCGAGAGCGACCTCGCTGAAATCCATGTCGCACTCAGAAGAAACTCGCTCTGCAGACTAATATTTGGTGCGTTTCAGTCAACAGAATACTGAAATATGATCTTAAAGTAAAGGTCTACAGCCGTAGAAAAGTTCACTTTTTAAACAATTGGTTTCATAAGTTAAGACGCGGTCGTTGTCCATTTGCTGCTGGAGATATGATGCCAGTAAGATACTCTTCACCGATGAGAAAATTTTTACTGTCGAAAAAAGTTCAACCGACATAACAATAAAATGTACACTAAAAGTGGATAGATAGATAGATAAAAAGTTTATTTCTTAGCAACACACAATTACATTGCTTACTAAACATTGATACTATAAAAGAAACAAAGAAGAACAAGAAGCAAAATATACCTGTGTGCAGCAGTTTAGAAAAGGGTCTAGGTTCGGTGCACTAAAATCATCTAATGCAGATGAAGCACCGGTTTTCAGTCATCACCCTTAATGAAATGTCCTTAAGTAGCGAGGATGTCCCAGCTTCTGCGCGGAATGTCTCGCGAACTCATCATCCGGCTAGTTTGATGGTATGGTGGGGACTTTCATATGAAGGCGCCACTCCGCTCCATTTCTGCCAACAAGTTCAAGGTGAAAGCCAAGAATCATCAGAGTGACATTTCAGAGCCCGTGG